CACACACACACACACACACACACACACACACACACACACACACACCAGGGTTTATATGAAGACAATAAAAGCCCATGATCCCTTACCGCTCCAGTCATTCATCAGAACCATCCCAAAGATGTGTTTGTGGACCTGGTCAATGGGGATGGGCTGGCCCAGCTGGTTTCCTCCCCCCACAAAGAATGCCTGAACACAGAACCACCATCAGCTCTGCTTACATCATCACTGTCAGATGTTCATGTGCAGATGGACTGAAGAAATCAGAAAAACAATAATCACCATCTCCAGCTCAAAGTCCAACTGCTTACAGGGTCCAAACACCGGAGGCTTCGCTGAAATGAAAAACTAATGTAATGATTTCAGCTGAAACTCTGTGMAAACACAAGAAAAGCTGCTTGTTTTGAAAACAGATTTTACATTTTAAGGCTTCAGTTCCAACAGTTCGGAACCAGCTGACAGTGAAAGCTGCAGACTCACAGCTGGAGGATGGATATACACTGAGTCAGAGTCAAGTTCTGTGGTCCTGATGCTAGTCCACATCATGTCCATCTGTCTGGTTCATGTCAAAGTTACAGACGTTGAGCTGCTAAAGGCTCATCGGTGGTTTGAACAGAAAACATCCAAGTGCTTTGTGTTTAACCCTCATTACATCTGCTGTGTGAGAACCCACACACAAATATCTCTTTCTGCTCGAACATCAAGGACTAAACTGAAGAACAAGATGAGTTCAGCTGGAATTTACTTTGATCAGGTCTCATCTGACCCACAGGGCGGTGAAGGGGGGTTCCAGAAACAACCACAGACGATGCTCGACCGTGGTACCCAACAGGGAGCCTCAACCTGTGGAGCACAAGAACATGAAGATCAAGACACTGTGTGGGTTCTGATGGTTCTACAGCTACATGGGACGATGTTGGTTCTGGTTCTGTACCAGTTAGGCATCAGGGCGTTGTCCTTCCCTCTGAACATGATGCCAACATTGGTGGCGTGATCTTTGGATGAGTAGAAATCTGTGTAATCTCCTGGAACAGAGGAGTGGTTCTCAATCAGCAGACATGCTGGTGAACAGCGCCCCCATCAGACTCCCAAGTTCCAACAAACAAACGTTTTTCTCTAAAACATAGAAGCTGTTTTTTTGGTTTTACTGACTCTTGTTTCAGAGTCAGACAGAGAAGTCATGACCCCAGAGAACTACAGTTCTAGTTTCTGATTTATTATGACCCCCGCACGCCACCTGTAAGCAGGAGTCATAATGTTTTCATAATGTTTATTTATTTTTCTTCTTTTTTTCAGTGATTTTTGGTCAACCGTAGCACAAAAACAGCTGCACCGATCAACATGAAATGAGTCAGGACTGTAGATGAGTCTGACCTACACTGCACCAGCCAACGGTTTTATGATAGACCCCATATTTGAGGAGGGGGCTCCTTTCAAAGAGGGGGTGTCTGGACATGCAAAAATGCTTTTAACTCAGAAACTGTTCAATATAGGAGCTTCAGATTTCTTTTGTTGTTTAGCTCTGATGAAGCTCTATCCTTAAGGTCCAACGCCCACCCAAAAAAAAAAGACCCCCACCCAAACCACTACAATTTTGGGATGCACCTAGTAGCATGACATTTATTAGGAATAAAGACTTCTGAGTTCGGGTGTATTTGTGCGTGTGGGGGTCATTATGTTACAGATGTGCAGTATCTAGTTTAAAACAGTATTGAGTTTACAACATATTTTGTTTATTAAGCAAACTAAATGATTCACAAGAGCCAGCTTTGATAAGCCAGGGTCAATGCACCAATGACCCTACCTTCTCCTATCGCCCATGGTCTGATAAACTGGACCTATGTGACCCCTCCTGCAGGTGGTGGACCCACAGGAAGGAAACCCCATGTAACGCCTTGCACTGAACTTAACTGGGACCCATGAGTAAAGGCCTGGTCACTAGGTGCTCCCCAAAGGAGCCCCTCCACCAGGCTTGGCTCCAGACTGGGCCTGGTAACCCTCATCCAAGTGAGGGACAATAATCTCTTTGATCTTTGCTGTCTTCATGAGTATAAATCACTTTTTCTCTGGTCTGTATGGATGATGGATGGATGGATGGATGGATGATGGATGGATGGATGGATGGATGGATGATAGATGTAAATCTATTGGGTATTTTATTAAAAAAATGACTATAGTGGTAGAAACTGGTTTTGTAGACTGAAGACCAGACTGAGGACCAGTTTAAGGACTAGACTGAGGACCAGTTTAAGGACTAGACTGAGGACCAGTTTAAGACGTTTGAGGCAGCAAGACGGCTCAGTAGTTAGCACTGACGCATCAGGTTCTGGGTTTGATCCCTGGTTCGGACCTGGGGTCTTTCCGTGTGGAGTTTACATGTTCTCCACGTGCTTGCGTGGGTTTTCTCTGGGTATTCTGGTTTCCCCCACCCCTAAAAACGTACAATAGGTGCCTTCAGGCCCAGGCCGCCCTTAAAAAAAGAGATCTGAGATCTCAATGGGACTTGCCTGGTTAAATAAATGTAAAATAAAAATTAAATTAAATTAAATTAAAGAACAGTTTAAGGACTAGACTGAGGACCAGTTTAAGGACCAGACTGAAGAGTTTGCTTCACTGACTGAAACAAAGTGACAGAAAATCTGACAGAAGAGTTTCTGAGGTAATCTACAGGTAAATGATGTCCTAACAGAGACCTACCAATGTCTGCAGGGAGGTGCATGGAGGCTGTCTTCTGAGGGACAAAAGCTCTAAAAGATRATGATACAAAATGAGGTTTGAAGACAGATTCAAGGTACAGATCTAAAAACTGTTCTCTGTAAGAAGACAACACTTCSCTCTGCTGTCTCACGTTGTCCTGATGGACATGGACTGACCTGCTACGAAGACTGATGTCATCTCTCAGAGTGCTCTCATTGGCTGACAGCAACGTCTGCAGGGTGGTCCGGGTCTCTGTCCAGGCTTCATAACCAAGACTCATGAAAGCATTCAGGGTTGGCTGCAGAGGGACAAACCAGAACTCTGAATACTGCTGGTGTTTTACTTCATTTCAACAAGAAACTACTTCTRGTTTATTGTAGGTCCAGTGAGATCATTCTGCAATGAAAAACAGGCAATGTCTGATTCCYAAYGTCTGATAGTCTACTGTCTCTAAAACTAAACAGATCGTTTTCTATTCTTGCACAATTACTTATATTATAGTTTTTATTATCAGTAGTTGTATCATTGCCAGTCAGTGTTACTTTAGTTTTGTGTTTTGTCTATAGTTTGTAAAGTAACTAGTGTGTGAACATCTGTACTGATGCTGCTGTGACACCTGAATTTACCCTCGATGAAACAATAAAGGCTTTTCTATTCTATTCTATTCTATTCTATTCTATTCTATTCTATTCTATTCTATTCTATTCTATTTTTGTCCTCATGGAGTTTCTGAGGGGTTCATATGAGTCGGACCACATGGAGTGTTTGGACCTGGAGAAGGACTACAGTGGTGTTCTGTTGAACCTTTGTGCTGAAGATAAGGACCCAGCTCTGGATCCTTGTCTTCAGCACAAAGTTGTGTTGTTTCTGGTAAAGGTTGGACTTCACCAGAGCTGTCTTGGATTCTGATCTTGTTTGTGGTTTTCATGGACAGGATGTCAGGTGTGCAGATGAATATGTCAGATTGAAGAAGCTCAGGGATTCATAGCTTTAGATGATGTCATCCTGTTGGGTTCATTTGAAGAGGACTGGACTGGTGAACCCTAACTGTGAAGCAGCTGAGATGGTGATCAGCTCCTCCAGGTCTGAGGATATGGTYCTCCCTCTACACTGGAGATCTTTGTCTCTACTGGAGGAGTTTATCTTGGGGTCTTGCTCTTCACTGATGGTAGATTGAAGCAGGAAATATGGAAGGATCAGCGACTTGCCTGAGAGAATGAGTGTTGCTCTGTTCTGCTGTGGTGGAGAGGAGCTGAGCTGAAAGGCAAAGCTCTGGATTTACTGGTGCAAAAAAAGGGTTTGATCCTTCCTGATCTCTTTTACGTTTGTCACGTTTAAGTGTTTCACATCACCAAACACATTTAAATATGAGACAAGGATAATGTGCAGTCCATAAATTAAGGTCTATATCAGAGATGGTCAATCCTGGTCCTCGAGGTCCGCAGTCCTGCACGTTTTACCTTTTTCCCTTCTCTTACACACCTGATTCAGTCAGTGAATTACCTCTTCCAAGTTCTGCAGAAGCCTGAAAATCATCCATCCATTCACATCAGGTGTGTTGGAGCAGAGAAACAAGTAGAACGTGCAGGACTGCGGCCCTCCAGGACCAGGACTGACTATCCCTGCTCTAGATTATAAAAGGGAAAAGAAATGCAAACCTACAGGACTCTGTGAAAAAGTCAATGCTCCCCTGTGGTTCATCACAGCTTTGGAAAGCTGAGTTTAAGTTTTCACACCTGTTCTTAGTCAAGAAACCAGTTAAATAGGACCTGCCTGACAAAGTAAAGTAGAATAAACTTGACATCCTGCTGAAAGCCAAAGAAACTCAGGAATAAATGGAAAACAAAGGAACATCTATCAGTCTGGAAAACATTATAAATCCATTTCTAAAGCGTTGGGACTCCAGARACCCACAGTCAGGGTCATTGTCCACAAACTGAAAGTATGGAACGGTAGTGAACCTTCACAGGAGTGGCCTGATGATCAGAATTACCCCAAGAGCACAGCAACGACTCATCCAAGAGGTCACAAAGACCCCACAACAACATCCAGAGACCTGCAGGTCTCCACCAAAAGACAGATTCTGGACAAACATGGCAGAGTTCAAAGATGACCTCTACTGAACAAACAGAACATAAAGAACTGTCTCAGTTCTACCAGAGAACACCCTGATGATCCCAGGACTTCTGGGAGAATCCTCTGTGGACTGACGAGACAGAAGATCAGCCTTTTGGACGTCACATTACATCTGGTGTAGAACATCCCACCAACAGTAAGACATGGAGGTGGCAGTGTGATGGTCTGTGGTGAATGGACCAACAAACCTGAAGRAGACTGTCCAACCTGACCTCCAGCTAAAGACCACCTGGGTTCTGCAGCAGGTCCACCTCTGAAYGGCTGAAGAAAAACTAACCTTTGGAGTGGCCTGATCAAAGTCTGACCTGAAAGCCTCTGAGATGTTGGGGCAGGACCTTACAAAGGTGCTTCATGGTCAGAAAGCCTCTGAGATGTTGGGGCAGGACCTTACAAAGGTGCTTCATGGTCAGAAAGCCTCTGAGATGCTGGGGCATGACCTTACAAAGGTGCTTCATGGTCAGAAAGCCTCTGAGATGTTGGGGCAGGACCTCACAAAGGTGCTTCATGGTCAGAAAGCCTCTGAATGGCACCAGTTGTGAGAAGAGTGGAGCACTGTAAAAGACTTGGACAAGTCATCAGGTCTAGAGGGGCACTAACTGTTTCCCACAGGTCCTGTAGGTTTAGAGGTCTTCTCCTCTGAACAAAGACCTTCATGGACTGCACTGTTTGTGTTGTCTTTGTCTCATGTTTCAGTTTGTTGACCTGAAACACTGAAGTGTGACAAACATGTCAACAAATCAGGACTTTTCCCACCACTGCATGATTGACCCTCACCTATGGTCAGGAGGTTTGGATGAGGACTGGCAGAACCAGATCCTGGATCCAAGCAGCTGAAATGAGCTCCCTCTGTCCTCCACACAAGGTGAGCAGGTTTTTACAGGTCGAACATCTAGAAAAGAACAAACTGACCTGATCAAAGACTTGTTGCTGTGTGGACATCACAGGTCCTCCAAACAAAGACTTGATCACACCCAGGTCCAGGATCTGGTCTCCAATAGCTACACCAATACGGTGTTTGGGCTGGAAGCAGACAAACAGGAAGATAAAACCAGGTTGTATCATAAACACACGTTTACAAGTAAGACAGCTTTTATTTTGAAAAGACCTTTGTATCYATCTTTTCCTAACCAGGGAGAACACACGAGGTGAACTCAGAAAAACCCTTGATCCTGATCAAACTGAGGTGACACTGCTAACTGCTGCTGCTCCACCACATAGCCTGCTTTGTATCATTTGGTTTTCTGACACGTCTGGAGCCAGTTTGTACCTTTGAGTTTTTATTTTTCACCAGAGAAGAGAGGCTGCAGTAGACTGCTTCACATGCTGCAGCTGTGGCAGAGAGCACAAAACAAACACAACTTACATTGTCAGACGTGGAGAAGACTCCATACGGAAGGTTCTGGTAGGAGAAGTCAGACGTCTCATCAGTTCTTATGAAGGACATGTTGGACGGTTTCTGCTGCTCCTCTCAGCTTCACAGACTTTTCTGAAAGACAGAGCAGAGTTAAACTTCTCCAGATGTTGAAGGAGACCCACCTCCCTGAGCTCAGCCAATCACACGCAGCCTACAGGAGACACCCTGCTGCAGTTAATGAACACCATCCCTGAGCATGACTCAGCAGAACTCCAGACAGGAGGTTCTCCTCCTGCAGAGGAGCAGACAGACAGGAGGTTCTCCTCCTGCAGAGGAGCAGACAGGTTCTCCTCCTGCAGAGGAGGAGCAGACAGGTTCTCCTCCTGCAGAGGAGGAGCAGACAGGTTCTCCTCCTGCAGAGGAGGAGCAGACAGGTTCTCCTCCTGCAGAGGAGGAGCAGACAGGTTCTCCTCCTGCAGAGGAGGAGCAGACAGGTTCTCCTCCTGCAGAGGAGGAGCAGACAGGTTCTCCTCCTGCAGAGGAGGAGCAGACAGGTTCTCCTCCTGCAGAGGAGGAGCAGACAGGTTCTC